TGCGTACGACCCCACTGCAAAACGCCCAAAGTGAGACGGATAACTCTTAACATATAGCCGCGGACAAATGTATTCTCATTGATCTGAATCGTCGACCGCATTCAATAGCTGCCCCAACAGACGCCTACTAAATCGAAATGCAATTAAGGCGGAGAAATTAGCCACGCCGTTAGTAGTCACGGCGAGCCATATCCCACTTTTGGCCTTTAGCACGCGGTAGGGAAGCTCTTCCGGAGAGATAGGTCCCCACCGATAAGCGCTCGATAATTTTAACGGCGTTCGCTTATTTCGAATGATGTTCGGTGTATTCCTCCCGGCGTTCTGTTATTCAGCGCGACGTTCCGAAGTTCAGAGTGATGTTTCTTTATTCAGAGCGGCGTTCCGTTGTTTAGAGCAGTGTTCAATTATTTAGAGCGGTGTTCCGTTATTTAGAGCGGTGTTCCAGCATTTTAGAGCGGTGTTCCAGCATTTAGATAAGTGTTGATTTATTTAGAGCGGTGTTCCGTTATTCAGAGCGGTGTTTATTTATTTAGAGCGGTGTTTCAGCATTTAGAGCGGTGTCCTATTATTTAGAGCAGTGTTTCGTTATTGAGGGCGGTGTTTCGTTATTTAAAGTGGTGTTCCATTATTTAAAACGGTGTTCCATTATTTTGATCAGTGTTTATATATTTAGAGTGGTGTTTATTTATTTAGAGTGGTGTTCCGTTATTTAGAGCAGTGTTTAATTATTTAGAGTGGTTTTCCGTTATTTAGAGCAGTGTTTATTTATTTAGAGTGGTGTTCCGTTATTTAGAGCAGTGTTTATTTATTTAGAGTGGTGTTCCGTTATTTAGAGCAGTGTGTATTTATTTAGAGTGGTGTTCCGTTATTGGGGGCGGCGTTCCGTTATCTATAACGACGTTTCGTTGTTCAGAGCAGTATTATTATATTCTGAGTGGTGTTCACTTTCTTTAGATATGCATCAGATACTATTCATTAGATGTCACACAGCCGACCGGCCAACAAATGACACGTGATCAATGCCATCGGGCAGTAGTAGAGCGCATGCGTGTGTATGCGCGCAGATCGTGACAAATTGAACAGCGTCACTTAAAGTAAGTGAACGCTGCAGGCATATATATATATATATATATATATATATATATATATATATATATAGATTAGTAGTAGTAGTAGTAGTAGTAGTACGTACGTACGTAACGTACGTACGTACGTTACCGTACCGTACGTACCGTACCGTACGTACGTACNCGTACGACGTACGTACGTACGTAGTAACCGTAACGTAACGTAACGTAACGTACGTAACGTAACGTTAACGTTAACGTTAAGTTACGTACGTACGTAGTATATATATATATATATATATATATATATATATATATATATATATATATAGTTGGGTATGGATTTGATGACATGCAAGAATCGTATCCGCATTCCCACAGGCCGTTTCACTAGATAAAATGATAGCGTTTTTCTGCACGTAGGCCTATCTATTTACATCTATTTATACGTGTAACCGCACATCGGCGTGCCTGCAGTATAGCGTGTGTCGTGCGAGTGCGTTCGAAAAGCGAGCATCTAAGAGTAATCGTTGGGTAATACATATTACGCGAACATTGGCAGTGCGAGGATTAAAAGAATTTGACTCAATTACCTATCATTGCATTCTTCAAAGCGGTCCGGGAGTCTGTGCATTTTTTCGCATTAAGAATCCAGCAAGGAGCCGTTTTTTCATAGCGTAACACCTAACGGCACGAATGTGGGTCAAATAGTTCCTAATTAGCATATCCGCTAAAATTTCTTGGCACGTTCATAACACGTCTTGTCGTTTACGCCAGTCGCCGTGCATCAACCTCGGGCGTCCCCGCAGCGCGAAACAAATGATTTAACGCAGGCGATAAATTATGAAAGTAGAGCGCGGCGGTTATATAGGCGGAGAAGGTCTGCCTCACTCTAGCGAACTACCTCATCGCGCGGCATCTCGCGAGAATAGCTGAGAGCAGACGTAATAGAGTCGCTTTCACGAGGTCGCTATTCAACGTCGTAAAACGTGCGGAATTTTGCCAAACAGCGCCGAAGACGAGGGAAAGAAGGCATACGTGCGCTTGAAAAGTTTTTCTAATTATGCCTATCGCAGAAAAAAAAGGTTCCGTTGGGCAGCGCCCCATAGTCAGTCTAGCGAGAGAGAGAGCGAACTTAGGCACGAGGAAAGATAAAGCGGTTTCGAACCTAATGACAGCTTTTATGAATTGCTCCGTTTCCTCCCACACCGCGTCCGTGGTGGTTTTAATGCAGGCTACGCTGCAACGTGCAGCAGCAGCAGCAGCAGCAGCAGCAGCAGCAGCAGCAGCAGCACTTAGAAGGCGGGAATCTGTCGCCTTGCCGAAGCGCTGTTTGCTTATCGTAAAAAATACATTTGCGCGCCAAAATGTGTAGCGTTCCCAAAAGAGCGATCCAATGAGATTCGGTCAACTTCGCTATAAAAGCGCTTGGAATTTCAGACAGGAAGTGTGATGACCTCCAATAAATTACTTTCTAACGCGGCCGACAGGTGGCCCTGTACCAATTCCGATCTAGAAACAGTAGACATTTATGCCCTGGTAACACCGATGGCACAGAACCGTCACCGATCATTAAAAAACGGTGAGATATTGGTGAGTGTATGCAGGCCTGTTGCTCCGTATTTCTCGACAGAAACCGTGACTTTCTGGCACGGGTGGGATTGAAAAATGTCTCCCGAGGACACGCTGAGCGACACTCTAGCGTTGGCGTGCGAACGAGCTTTACATTAAAACACAAACACGGCTCTCTCTCTCTCTCTCTCTCTCTCTCTCTCTCTCTCTCTCTCTCTCTCTCTTTCTCTCTCTCTCTCTCTCTCTCTCTCTCTCTCTCTTTTCGCTCTGTTCTCTCTCTCTGTCTCTCTCTCTCTCTCTCTGCTCCCTCTCTCGTCTCTCATCTCTTTCTCTCTCTCTCTCTCTTCTCTTCTCTCTCTCTCTCTCTCTCTCTCTCTCTTTCTCTGTCTCTCCTTCTCTCTCTCCTCTCTCTCTCTCTCTCTCTCTCTCTCTCTCGCTTTCTCTCTGCTCTCTCTCTCTTTCGGCCCCCCCCTCTCTACAACCCTTCTCTCTCTCTCTCTCTCTCTCTCTCTCTCTCTCTCTCTCTCTCTCTCTCTCTCTCTCTCTCTCTCTCTCTCTCTCTCTCTCTCTCTCTCTCTCTCTCTCTCTCTCTCTCTCCCTCTCTCTCTCTTTCTCTCTCTCTCTCTACGCGGACTCAGTCTCCAGATGCTTTCTCGCTAAATTCTGCATGCTCGCACGTTGAGAAGCCTGTGCGGACCGCGACAAGAAACGCAGAAAGTAATGATTGCTGTCACACGGTTGAGCGAATTTCTGCCTGTCTTCTTCCCTATGTTGGCTCTACTCTGACGGCAGGAGCTCCTTCGGAGGACGCCTTACACCGATGGATCGATATTTAAAAAACAACATTTATCGCCTACTTTTTCCCCTACCCGCGGACGTCGCGTGCGCTGTTGTTAACAGCGTTCTACTTGCCGTCTACAGCATCTGCTATCGCCAACGATACATCAACGTTGGCTTTAGAGATGCATTGCGTGTAAAAAACTACAAGGCTATGACGGTGACTATACGCTTCGTGTGTGTGTGTATATATATGCATGCACGCAGGCTAGTTAGCACGCTCGCTGCACGGGGAGCAGTTGTCATCGACACACGGGTTTTTACCGGCGGCGCAGGATTATCGAATACTGAAGATGCCCGCTGTTTTCTCAAGTGTAACTGTCAGCCTGAAGAGAGCGTTAATGTAAGCACTCTGCCTAATGCATAAGTGAGGCCCGCAAGACATGGCGCACGCGCGACGGATAAATAAACAGAGAGGGAAGGGAACGCTATTAACTGCGCTCGAACGTTGATAAACAACATAGATTAGATTGAAATTTTCGAACGAGGGTGTTTTCTAAATTCTATAGGAATGAACGTGTGTTAAAATGCGGTTAATGTTTTCGAACCGTCGCGAATCCACGAAATGGAATTGCTGTCATCAGGGTACATGAACGGGTAGATGGTGGCGTTGACAACCACTGGATAATGGCCGCTGTCGCGACCCGAAAAATATCGTGTTTACAATCATTTACGGAACATAACTCGTCACTCGTCTTCAGCAAATAAACACAAGATGATTGAATGAGCGAGCTGGCCAAATCTGTAGCGGCGGACGGCTTGATTGAGATATACGCGAGCATCGGAGTCTGAGATCAGACTGATTCCGTTGTTACGTTGAGCGCTTCTGCCGCGTTAGCGTCGCTGTTCTGGCTACTGTGACGTCGAGCGCTTTGATTGGTTAACATCGACGCCACCAAGCACGCGGAGTTGGGACTTAAAATGAGCATTAAATTCATTTCAGTGTGATTCATACTACGAAGAGCGTATTAAGAATGAATATTAACATTCCCAATACGCTCTTGGTACTACGTAGAGTGCGTCATCGCACCGTCATAGTATGTGAGTGGAGCGTCTGCCTACCATGTATATGGCAGCACCGTAGCTAGCGTGGTGGGGCCAAGGGGGAAGGCTATTACTTGGTCAGTGGGGAAGTGCCCGTGGGAAACTGCCTAGAGCACAAACCGCATGTGCATTTGCCCCTAGGAAAAAAATATTGGTTATGTTCCTGCATGGGTTATGATTGAACCAGGCATTGATCCAGATCATGATGTGTGGTGATGACTCAGCTAATATTTTTGGTAGTAACCCAATAACGGCATGTGTGTGGCAACGACTCCTCTATCCCCTGCAATAGTTCCTCTCCTCCTACCTGCACCAGGTACGTGGTAGTAACCCCTGCACTAGTTCATCTCCCCCTACCTGCACCAGGTACGTGGTAGTAACCCAAAAATGCCGTGTGTGTGGCAGCGACTCCCTATCCCCGTGCCCCAGGCGTGTCCTCTTCACGCACACGTCGTCACTGAATCGTGTCTACGTACGTACCCTGGTGAAGTCGGCGAAGATAAACGCTTGCTCCATCCCCGTGAAGACGATGAGGAGAGCCAGACACAGCACGCGTCCGTCCTGCAGAGCCTTGAGCATGCGCAGCGTCAAGCGCACGCACGACTTCCGGCTCGGCGATTCGCGCATGCTCGGTTCGAGTCTGTCGAGTAGCGCCGTGCTGAGAGCGACGCCCAGCAGGCCGCAGCCGATGTAGACGCTGGTCAGCAGCAGACAACTGTCCAGCTGCTGACCGGCGTACTGCACCACGTACGTGCCGCCGCCGCCGGACGCCGCCGCCGTCGCGTTACGAGCGACGCACGCCTGCGCACTGCAGCTCGTCGTGTTTCGCTCCTCCTCCCAGGCGCCCGCCCACGTGCCATTCGTCGGCTCGGCGCCGGCGACGGGCGCGCGCAGACGTCGGCTGCTGCGGTAGACGACGAGCGCGACGGCATTGCCGACGATGGCGCTACAGTGGAAGATGGCGCCGAATAGGCGGTTGAAGCGGTTAAGAATGCGTTCCGTGAGCTCCTCGGTGAGGAAGGCGTACTTGCGCGACGTCGCGTACAGATAGAGCGTCTGCGCGTTCCACAGCGGGCCAGACATGGCGCCAGCGAGCACCGAAGCCGGTACGAGTGTGTAGAGCCGCGGGTGCAGATTCGCGGCGAAGTAAACGCTGTACAGCACAAAGGCGATGACCACCGTCCACTTGGGCGTCAGGCGGTTGGTCAGCGCTGAGCTAAAGACGCCCGTGAGACACATGGTCGCGTAGAGCGTGCACAGCGACAGGAGGCCGACGTCGCCGCGGTCGGTAAGCGCGAGCACGCTCTGCAGCGAGCGCAGCCCGCTGAAGCCGACGAAAACGAGCATGTAAGCGACTGCGAGCACGATGAGGTTTTTCATCTGCCGCAGCTGCTGCGACCACGAGCTTCGCTGCTGCTTGCCGCCGCCGCCGCCGTCCGGCTCGCGCTGGTGGATCTGTATCGTGTCGCCCGTGACGGTGATCTTGTGCGGCAGGTAGGCGCCGTAGCACGACAGCGAGCGGCCGCGCTTCAGGTCGCCAAGGTCAAGGTGAAGGTCGATCGACTGGAAGTCGTGCGCGGTCGGCACCTGCAGGCGGCCGTCGAGTCGGACGCTGACGCGGTTCGAGCCGCTGCCGCACGTCGACGAGCGTGGCGACGACTGCGGCGACTCCTCGATCGACTCGATGAGCGACGTGCGCTGTACGGCGCTGGCGCGACGCGGCGACAGACGGATGACGTGGTCGATGCTGCTCGGTCGCCGCTTCGGCGGGTAGTGCAGGTCGGCGGCGTTGCTGATGCGGTGCGGCGCTCCATGCAGCGCGTCGAGCACCGACAGTCGCCGACCGTCGCCGCTGCAGTTGCTCGACTTACGCGAGTCGCTGCCGCAGTGACTCATGCCGCCGCCAGGGGTCGCGATTTCGATGACGCTGTAGCGACGCGGCGGGTAAACCCGCTCCAACGTCGACAGTTTTTGATTGGACATCGCGCGGATTCGAACGTGCGAGCGAGTCTACGGGGGCGTCAGCGGCTGCGAGAGGGGGTCACGTGGTCGCAGTGTTGATCACGGAAGAGCTTCATCTCTCGGAGCGGGCTTCAGCCGGAACTAAAACACAGGAAAATGTCCGACGTCATTAAATAGCAGTGTCAACTCGCTCTCTCTCTCTCTCTCTCTCTCTCTCTCTCTCTCTCTCTCTCTCTCTCTCTCTCTCTTTCTCTCTCTCTCTCTCTCTCTATCTCTCTCATATCACCGCGGCCAACGCGCCGGTTGTACAACTGAGACACGCTGTAATGTATCGCGTCAGAATTGTAATGACTCGTGTGCGTTAAACGTTCAGCGGATAACTATGGGGTGCCAACGATAAAAATATTATTTAGCATAATGTAATATTTATTTATATAATAATATATTTAAATAATGTATTATCTTATATACATTATTATTTATATAATATATTATTTGTTAAATAATGTATTATTTAATTATATAATATATTATATGTTAAATAATGTATTATTTGTTCAATAATGTATTATTTATTTATATAATATATTATTTGTTAAATAATGTATTATTTGCTAAATAATGTATTATTTAATTATATAATATATTATTTGTTAAATAATACATTATGCTAAATAATATTTTTATCGTTGGCACCCCATAGTTATCTAAATAGTTAGTTTGCTAAATAATACATTATATATATACATTATTATATATTATATGAATAAAGAATACATTATTTAACATATAATATATTATTTATTATATAAAGGCATTATTTAGTAAACAATGACTTTATACGCTAAATAATGTGCTAAATAATATTTTTATCGTTGGCACCCCATAGATAACCACCTCAGCAATCAAGACGCTGTATGCTACCTACATCGAGTGACTTTTAACAACGTATAGCAGCTGTAACGCACATGGCAAATACACTACGGTACTTATATTTTAACGGCGATAAATGCGGTTATTTCACGCGCAAATGTGCGCCAATAATAGCAGCTGCATTTCATTATAGTTTTCTAATGCATGGCTCGAGAACTGTTGCAGTAAATTAGAAGGAGCGCGCGGCTCGCGTGTGCACTGCAAGGAGCCAGCTGGCTAATGAAAGTTGTCACGGCTGTCGTCTGCGCACTGTCACCTCGCCACGACCGTCTCTTATTTCACTCTCGTTTCTTCTTTATGCGGCGTGTCATCGTCACCCTCTATTCTTCTTTTCCTTGCCCACCAATCACGCCGCATAGTCGGCCGCATTCTCTTTCCTCGCGATTCTTCTTCTTCTGACCTTCTCTATTTTCTCTCTCCATTTATCCTTCTCACTACTCATCTCTTACTCGGCGTTCTCCTCGCTTTCTCTATTCTCCTTCTCACGTGCATGCTTCACGCTGTTTACTTTTCTCCCATTTTCATCCTCTTGCTTATTCCTATCTCTCTACACATTTTCCGTTCTCGCCTATTCCTCTTCCTCCACCTCTCCATGCTCCTCCCCATCCTCTATCCTACTATCGTTTGATCACGAGCAACAACACGTGTGAGATACGCGTACAAAATTTGCGTGTCGGCGTGTAATAGTAGTAGTTAGTGCATGCTGTGTGTGTCGTGTGTGTAGTGTGTGTGTGTGTGTGTTTGTGTGCGTGTGTGTCTGTCTCTGTGTCTGTGTGTTTGCGTGTGTGTCTGTCTCTCTGTATGTGTGTTTGCGTGCATGTGTGTCTGTTTGTGTGCGTGTGTGTGTCTGTCTATCGTTGTATGTGTGTGTGTGTGTGTGTGTGTGTGTGTGTGTGTGTGTGTGTGTGTGTTTGTGTGCGTGTGGTGTGTGTGTCTGTCTATCGTTGTGTGTGTGCGCGTGTATGTGTGTATGTGTGTGTGCGTGTGTGTGGGTTTGCGCGCACGCGTGTGCGTGTGAGTGTGTCTGTCTGTCTCTCTCTCACTGTGCGTGCGTGTGTGTGTGTGTGTGTGTGTGTGTGTGTGTGTGTGTGTGTGTGTGTGTGTGTGTGTGTGGTGTGTGNGTGCTACCTGTTCACAGGGAGGAGATACACTGTCTCATGGCTGAGTTATTGTCATAATAATGTGCTACCTGTTCACAGGGAGGGGATGGACTGTCTCATGGCCTGGTTAAGTTATTGTCATAATAATGTGCTACCTGTTCACTAGGAGATAGATGCACTGTCTCATGGCTGAGTTATTGTCATAATAATGTGCTACCTGTTCACTAGGAGATAGATGCACCATGGCACTAGAATAACAGCAGGCCTACCTTCTTTTTGAAGCTTCTTGAAATCCTTTTTAAAGTCAGCTTTTGTGATTTTGAATAGCCAGGTGGGTACGTTCCCTGGCAGAGAAATGTACATATACACTGGAAACGCATTCTCCATTTCTCTATTCTAATTGTTAAATCATCTGCAAAAATAAAGGCAGATAGATTTATTTGAGCACTAATTATTTTTCATATGTTGGTCCTCATCAACAGCACCATTTGTTCACGACTGGTTCCTATACACTACAACTACATACACACGCACCCTCCACCCACGGACACACGCACCCACTCACCCACACACATACACACACACACACACACACACACACACACACACACACACACACACACACACACACACACACACGTGAACACTTCCATAAACGCGAGGCCCGCGTGCGCACCCGACGCGCTGCCTCTATAGAAAAACATTCATTCCGCTAATTGCTCAACTGGGGCTTCATTAGACAGCTGGGCTTCACATAACAATTACGTATAATGAGAGCGTTGCTCGCGTCGGCACAATGCGTCCGTCGCCACATCTGCCGCTGACGACGTGTGAATGAAATAGTCCTACAGCTCGCGCCTCGCGACGTGTATCAAATGCGACTACGTTTGTCCGCGTGCGATCATCGCGCGACCGCTCGGCTAAGATTCCTTACAAGATTGCTCGTCTGCCGTACAAGCCGAGTCGACATTCGGCGGGAGAAATAAATGCGTGTGAATCGTCTGCACGCCTGCACGGCGTAATGCGAACGCAATTGCAATGTTTCCCTTCCGCCAGGGTTATGATCGGGCGGCTAAGTTATTTTCTGTGCAATCGGGAATACTTTTCAGCTTAGCGGGCGAAATAAAATTATTGGTTTCGTATGTTAACACGTTGCTTCATATTCACGATGTAGCATCACACTGACGATATTCATAACCCTGTGTGCTATTTCAACCGGAGTGGTTAGAATAGCACGTACGGTCTCCGAGGTATACGGTCCAGTGAAATATTATTACAATGTAATCCAGGGGGCCTGTTCTCATCATAAACAGCATCATAAAATGTTACGACCATCGTGAGTCTACCACATCGCAATTTTTGCGCCACAGTTCACTTCAAAAGTTAAAGGCTTTTCAGACTTATGATATCATAACTACTCATGATGTTTCTGCCAACGGGTCCCTGATGCCAGCAATAGTGACATTAGGGTGTATTAGCTACACACTGCCTACCTACCTGCTATATACTGCCTACATACTGCCTACATACTGCCTACCTACCTGCTACATACTGCCTACATACTGCCTACATACTGCTTACATACTGCCTACATACTGCCTACATACTGCCTACCTACCTGCTACATACTGCCTACATACTGCCCACATACTGCCTACATACTGTCTACATACTGCCTACATACTGCCTACAGACCTGCTACATACTGCCTACATACTGCCTACATATCTGCTACATACTGCCTACATACTGCCTACATACTGCCTACCTACCTGCTACATACTGCCTACATACTGCCTACATACCTGCTACATACTGCCTACATACTGCCTACCTACCTGCTACATACTGCCTACATACTGCCCACATACTGCCTACATACTGCCTACATACTGCCT